CACTCGATCAGTCGTAAGTTCGTCTCGGCTGCCAATCGAGATGTTTTCATCTTAAGAAATGAAAATTGAATCAGATACATGAACATTGGAACAAACGTCAGTGTGACAGGAAATACCTGAAACATTTATTTAACGTGACCTTTGACATTTTAGTTCTGCGAAAAGCAGTTTTTAGCGTAGGAACCAAAATTGTACATGTTTGTTTTTGTCTAATCCGGCTGACGAAGGAAAAAAACAACAAATGCTTCCTTTGCGAAAGTAATTCATCTCGAAAATAAGATGAAACTTCTGACACCAGATGAACTGATGTAATGAAACAGAGCGTCGCTCTTGTTTTGTTTCAGTGTCCTCAGCTCACTTCACTCGTCCTGCTACAGAAGCAGCTCCTCCATCACTCGTGCTTACAGGAATAATCTAAGTCCTGACACACTCCGACTCCCACAGGGGCCGTTTCTCAGCTGCCTCCGCTCTCTCTGGAGGCAGCTGACACTCCTGGGACTTTACGATAAGAAGGGCGATAAACCAAAAGTCTGTCGCCTCTTCGCAAACAACCTCGTATCAAACTCTACATATGAGACACATCTCATTTTACAGCCTCTCTTTGTTATCGATCCCCAACATATTGATTCTGCAGCGGTGGTTTGTGTCAATAAGAGCATATGGACACCTCACCTCCACGAACCTGAGCTCCGGGTCAATCATGGTCCAGACGGTCACAATTCAAACTGTTTCAACTCCAAACTCAAAAGCGGTCCGACAACACGACTCCGCCGGCGGTTTCTCTCCTTCTCTTTTACCGCTGGCGTCCGTCTGGTTTTCCTCCTCAGAGTAAACAGACGGCACACGATCGCGTTCTGATTTTACTACATGAAAAAAAAAAAAAAAAAAAAAAATGGTGTCATTCATAAGTGAAAACAGTCAGCCCAGTTTCCCTCGGCATCGTTAGGCTGATAATCTAATTCTGTGTCAGGGGGAATTTGTCTGGTGGTGACACTGGGGCCCGATGAGCTGAAGCTTTCTGTGTTAAAGGGACAATGAGGCTGAAGTGGGACAAACAAAACCAGGAAACATTAGGCCTCAACGTTCACTCTTCAAAAAAACTCTAATGGACCATCGAGTGTTCTCTGCCTTTCACAACCCAGTGTAGGATTTTTACTTGCAGTGAGTCATGAGCCACTGTTTCTATGTTCCTGCAAAAACAAAGAAATAAATAAACTAATGTCGCATTTTATGGTCGTGATATAAAAAAAACGGGGAAACATAAATCCTGACCCCGCCTGTTCAACTGGATCTGCACCACAACGTCAAATCTTTTCTCGTCTAACTAAACAAAAATATTTCTCAAAATCTCCTGAAAATAATCTGGTCTGGATGAGCTCAGGGAATGTGAAGGTGCGTTATTACAGTTTTTTTTTTTTTAACAGACCCATATTTCCACCTGGAGAGAAGCCGTGGATCAGAGTTTATTACCGAATAAAAGAAAAAGCTTTTAATAGCCCAGCCCTCACTTATCTCCGTCTCTCTCCGTGGGTTTTATTCAGCTCTGTGCTGCGACTGACCAGCAGCAGCAATTAACTCAACAGCTGCTCCTTCTTTTTCCAGTTTTCTATCTAGCGCAGCTCAAGACTGATTCAACACTTCAAATGTGTGAATCCAAGAGTTTGTGTTTACACCGGACTCATCTGGGAACGTTCCACGTACATTTCCTATTCCGTCATTTCATTGATGAACGTTTGTCACTGCAGGTTTGAAAGTCAAAGCTTATTTTTTGTTTTGTGGTTCGCTGTGATCACTGGATTTGATGTGAGCTCATCCTAACCTGGAATAAAAATAATGAGGTGAAATAAAATATAAATAAAATGTGGTGTAAAGAAGCACTGGAGTGCTTTTTGTAATTACTTGTGTAAAGCTGCCCTCTGGTGACCAAAAATGAGACTTGCATACATTTAGAATTATTTCATTCATTGAGTTTTTAGGTTTTGAGCGATTGAATCAACTGAATATTGTGAATATTTAACACTAAAGCACAGAATCAGCTCTAATGATGAGCGTCTCAATGCAGGTTTAACTGTACAACTTTTACAGAGCACCAGAATATTCAACACATTCAATTGTCCCAGTTGAGTAGTTTGGCACATGTGTTGTTTTATACTTCCTCAAATATTAGAAATCTATATTACCCCTATTTCTTCCCCCTGATGTTTATATTGCACGTTTTACTTATTTATCACTTTTTTACACATGCTTCCATTTTACCGTCCTCTTTGCTGCTGCAATGCTATAAATCCCCATCGGCGGCGTGCACGTGGCGATGATGCAGTTCTGCCGCAGCAGCAGCGTCAGTGAGTGAGTGGGAGTTGTTAACATGAGCCAGTGAAGCTGATCGGTGCTGAAAGGTCGACATGATAATGACATGTTTATCTTTAGCGCAGTAAAGACAGTGATAACGAGGACAGGACGGGATTCGTCACCTTCCTCCTCCGCTCACATGCTAATGAGCATTTTTAATCCATGTCCGTCTCCACGGCAACAGATGGCAGCGAAGACACAGGGCTAATGTTAATATTAAGAGGGTTTGAGCGTAGTTGGAGATTTTAACTTATCTCGACAATCTGTTCGGTTTCACAGCAACCAGGAGAAATCTTTTACACTTGGGGTTCGTAATCGTTCATCAGCTCAACTCTCTGTGCTCCAGAGAGATGAGAAGACAGCTTCCAACTTCCAGCTGGACTTTATCGAGGCTCTTAAAGAAGTGGCACTTAGTGGAATGCATAACATCGCACACACTCATAGATCCGTCCTCGGAATAATATTGATTTCTCTTCTTCAAGAAACCTGAATTATTACCTGGAAAAAATACTTTCACCGAGTGTTGTGCAAATCCTTTCGGGTTGTTTTCGTGCAATGCTGCCGAGAAACAGACGAACCAATAAACGTACACAGCGTGAAAACACGAAACCTCCTCGGCGGCGGTTTTAACCAGACGAGAGGAAGGAAGTCAAAACCAGCTGGGAACTCAATCAGATCATAGATGATGACTTTAGAAACAGCTGCTTCACAAACCGAGGAGCCTTCAGAAGCTCGGCAGAACAATAAGTGGCGTTTAACTGAGTTCAGTCCCGAGCGTCGGCACACAAACTGTTTAATACAAGACCTTGACGGTGAGAAATACGTCTGCAGTGCATGTTTGCATATTTAATGTCCCTGGATGAGTCTGAACCTCTATGGGAGATTTCTGCCTTGAAGACAGATGTTTAGATTCCACGCCTCCACAGCAGCTCTGACTGGAGCGTGAGTTCTCCGACCCGTCCCTGTTGGACCTCAGGTTTGCAACGAGCGAACGTCCCTCAGTGTCTTCTTCTTCATCCCTGTGGGTCTTGAGCGAGAGGACAGCCCATCATCACACCCTGGTCCAGTGGGTGCAACAACTTGGCCCCTGAAAATGGCGCTCTGTTATTTGTATCGGCGTCAAGGCTCCGATCTAAACGTGTGAAACAAGTCTTTGAGCATCGGCACAATTTTCACGCTGCATCTTAAGAGGCGGCGGATTATTCATGAAGCAGCTAAAACCTGGTGGCACATGAGGCCGGATTACTGAGCGACGATTGATGACACAATTAAAAGCACTCAGGCTGAATAATGCAAATTTAAAAACAACAATGGATCCAAGCTCATTTGTTCCGTTCTGACGGTTCTAAGGTTAATTTGGACGAGATGAGTTACTGCAGAAAACATTCAATCCAGTGCATCTGAGGAAACGTCTCGTCTTCTCAAAGCTTCCTCCTGCCAGATTATTCCCCCCGCCCCGCCGCCCTGTGGCTGGATTGTGCGGGATTATGCTCTTCCTCTCACCGCTCTTCCTCTCGACGCCGGGCTGAGAGAAGCTTTGCATGAAGTGCGAGCGATAATGAGGCCCTTTAATGTTGGAGTTGCCGTCACCGCGTCTCTGCCTCGGATTATCAGCCATGAAACACGAGAAGGTCCCCGAAAACAACACCTTCGCTTTGATCGTCACATGTGAAGACTTTAGCTTTTCAAATGAGGATTTGAATGAGTCTCCATACGCTGAATTAAAGTCGTCCTTCCACATTTAAATACGTGTTCTTTTCCTCAGAAGCTGCAGTTTAACACGCAAACGTTACAAAACTTTGACTCTTAAACCACATGCAGCTTTATTCCACCTCAGCACGTACGGCTGAAATATTTGTATTCTTTCAGTTTCACGTCCGTCACGTGTGAGAAACCTCATCAACACACCCACTCGCTCACTGTGACTCAGACGTTTGTGTTCTCACACATCGCGTCTCTGGATAATTTGTAGGAAAACATCTGTATTTCAGTGCACGTGTGAAATCCTCCAGCTCCGCTTCCAAATTATTTGATTCCAACAGGTTGTTAAAAACCTTCATCCTTCCTGTTACACAAAAAACACTTTAAAAACCTCATCAATATGAAAATGTATGCAGCAGATTCTACTCAGGTCTGCTCCACACGAGCTTTGAGAAGTCTGAGGTTATTGTTCTTGAGTTATCGCCGTCACAACAATGAGTCGGCAGAGTCACAGACGCCAGCGTAACGACATGATGTCCCACGAAGCATTAAAACTGACATTACATCCACCGGCTCTGCAGAAACCGAGGAAAGAGCTTTGACCAAAAAAAAAAAAACAAACTTAAGAGCTCAAACAAACAAACGTGATGAATTAAACAAATTGTCATATGGCCCCGCCCCTTTAAAGACAGTTAAAAAGCTGAATCCGAAGTTAAATAGCTCACGGAAGAAATAAAGAGATTCAGAGAGCTGCTGCATTTTCATTTTTCTCTCATATTTATGAGACGTTTGAATTGAAAAACCAACTTGTAGTTAACACATTTCGTTAACTCAGAGATAAACTGAATTTTCTGGGGAAAGTGTGAAAGCCAAAATAAAGTAGGGTGAAAACTTTGAGCACGAATACGTTATGTTTGCATACGAGGGGAGAAAGTGTAAGTGGATCCTACCTTGACATCTTTGACCGGCTGACACTCGATCTGATGAGACACAGATGCAGTTTGATTCATCGCTGCTCCTCGCTTTTCACCCAATGCTCCTCAATATCTGAAACACAGGGAGTCAGATTAAAATCCTCCTCAGCAGCAGCAGCAGCAGCTCAGATGTGAAGTTTCCTGAGACTCCCCCTCTCCTCCTCCTCCTCCTCCTCCTCGGCTCTGAGCGGATCGAAGCTGACGACTGGAGACGCTCCTCCTCGTCGTTATTTAAAAACACTATTTGTTTTATTTCCACCTCCGTTGTTTGCCTCTCCAGCAGAACACGGTCTGAATAAACCCTCTCGTCTCCTGTATGTGCCGCTTCACATGCCGCTGACAGACCGTTCATAAACCAGGACGTTTGCCAGATCCTCCCACATACCAAGACGTTTCTTCATCAGAATGCAAATTTGCTCCAGGCGAAGATATTGCAGGCGTTTGGTGCTGAGCTTTTTTTTTTTTACACTGAGCGCGTTTCTCTGACGGTTCTATTCAAAGCATGTGAGGGCAGGAGGTTCAGCGTTTTGCATTAAAAGCTGTTCTGACAGAACGTGTTGATTTTTTGTTTTTTGTTTGAAGGACTCACGCTGATGAATTCACGTTTGACCAAAGACTCGGACCCGTCGTGAACCTGTTGAATCCACGTCTGCAACAGAAGACGCTAAGATATACAAACAGCTAACGATGAAAACCCAGAACATACATATAAACTAACGTCATCATATCGCAAGTAGAGTATTTAATGAGCATGTTCATTATTTTTTTAATCCATTACACATGGAATAAGAAGTGTGTGCACACAGAGCGTCACACTGCATTTCCTTTAGCTTATCATTCATTTCATTGTTATTCCATTAATCCCAGTCAAGCAAGTTTCTACTCGTCCGTCCGTCTCCGTACCTCTGCTCGTTTTGAGGGTCGGAGCTGGAGCCAAGACCCAGCTGGACGACGGGCGGGGCACATCCTGGTCACCAGCGAATCACAGGGTGGAGACACACAAACGTCCACACCTGCGGACAATTGAGGGTAAAAATCATAAATACAAACAGACATAGAGAACTCGAGATGAACATCTTGTTGGTGAGATTCAAACGCAAATGCATCTTGTATATTTTGTAAAAACAAGACGTTTGCAGATACCGACCTATAAATAAATAAATCAGTCTGCGAGTTAAGTCTTCATCCGTCTTCCCAGACTTGTCTTTGCACGTTACAGTAAACCGTTGCCCTCATTAAAGATGTAAGCGCACGATGCATATTTCATGATCCGGCTGTTTTTCATGCCAATAATCATATTTTATTGTCCAGTAAATAATCACATTTATCGAGCATGAGCAGCTTTTAACATTATAAACTGAGGTTCTGTTGTTTTCTATTCACTTTAGAGAAAATTGAAAAGGTCGTCAAGAGCAAAGGAAGACAAACAGAGTGAGTGAGGAGGATTTTATTTGAAATATTAACTTAGACCTTTGAAAACCTGACTAGAAAACAAGGAATAGTGTTTAACTAACCTGGTTTAATTTCTCTTCATATCTATAATTCCTACTAATCACAATATTCCCAATGTGTTTATTTTGTTATTACATTACTTTTAGCCGGTTCAAGCACGGCTCATTTCACGCTGTGTTGGAGCTTTCCAGTAAATAATGATCAGAATGGAACGTCTTTAATTAGAGCAGCGGTGCAGGAGGAATAATGAAGACAGACACGGAGCGTGGAGAGTGTAATGAGCCTCGAGAGTTAGAAATGTATACTTCGTTATGAAATGAAGAATTACTCCTGCGCCTTGTTTCAATGAACGGAGACAAGCTCACGTTTATAAGTTTCCAGACCTGAGTTATTTTCCATTTGCTATAAAAATCATAACAGATTTTTAATACAGACATTTCAAAACTTCACTTTCTTCTAATGCCTCAAGTTCTTTGCTCCTTTTGGGAAAATATAGTTTTCTGACTCATATAAACATTAAAAAATTACAAGAAAACTGGATTTAAATAATCAATAACCCGTCTCCTGTTCGAATTGAATGCATTCCCTGTTTGTAAGCGGATAAGTTGCTTATAAAAGGTATTTCAGTGCTCACTCCTCTCACTGTGCTCGTCCTCTCAGCTGGATTAAAGTTGTTCCAGGATCTAGAACATGTCAACACGCAGCACAGAGAAGTTTTACAGCTTCTCTTCCTCTCTGTGCCTCAGACATAAAGATGTAAACTTTGAAACATGATCCTGGCTGCGGACAGAGAGTCGGGCGCTCTAATAAAACTGGACATTAAAGTGAACAGGGATTGTTTAGTGCTCCTCTCTGCGGGGTTTTATTGCACCTGTGGGCGCTCGGCCTGGTTCTAAATGCACGGGTTGAATGGTGCAACACAACACCGGGGTCCACGAACAGATCCACGAACAGATCCACGACCAGGAGTCGCTGCAGAATGAAGGGAATTCTGCGTTCAACCTGTGAATGTGACGTTTAAAACTCCACAGAGTCAAACACGCATTAGCATTCAGGCTAACCCGAGACATCAACACGACAGCGACAAGAAGAGTGTGACGCTTTCAACACGTCACAGAGCTAAACTATTCTCCAGGTGACGTTCAAATGAAACACAGTGACCTCACCTGAGCGGGTGACGTCAGTCGGCAACATCTGTTTCCGCAGCTGGATGCTAAACTCAAGCTAAACTCGTGCTAGCTGGAAAAAAAGCCTGTTTCCGGTGATTAACGTGACGCAAACTTCCCCCTCGGCTCCTTGACTACTTATATCCTCGGTCCCGGTTTTAGTTTTTATTCCTGTTTGAACTCTTTAAAGTTAAAAAACGACGAGTTCTGCTTCTGTTTTTAACAAACTACAGGCGCTACAGCGTTAGCCGCTACAATGCTAACAGCGATCTCCCGTGATGCTCTCTGAGGTCAGAGGTCAACAGGTCGCTTCATCCTGATTGGTCAACAGGCAGATGAAGGAAATGACTGTAGTTTAATTATTATTTATTTATTTATTGATAATTAGAAATGAATTGTGATTCTTAATATTCACGTATTCAATGTTGAATTAAAACACAAATTTCAAATTACACTAATTAAACATTTAATTCAATATCACAGAAATAGAGCAACAACAACAACAAGGCCACTTTTTATTTAATTTATCTTTCTGTATTTTTACTTTTGAAGAACTTTGTAAATGTTTTTTGAAAAGTGTTTTAACATTATTGCTAAAACTCTGTGTTTTTTAAACTCCGTGTAGTTTGAGTGGAATCCGCAGGTCAAGTGTTCAAGCTGAACATCTTCAGCTGTTTCCTCTTTTCAAACAAACTTGTTTCAGTGATTTAACTTCACTTTCATTGGCTCAACCTTCCACTTGCTGCTAATTTGAGCTGCAGCCACTGTGGAGCCAGTGTTGCTGCCATCTGCTGAATTGGACAGGAGAGTTATGGTGAATATAAATAACCAGCAAACGCCAGAAGAATATTTTCAAGCATAAATGGAAATTTGGAATATTTACAGATTCGTGGACGTGACGAAGACTCACAAAGGCTGATTCAGTTAGTTATGGATTAATGTCGTCGTGTAATTGGATCTGAAGTGAAGAGAATTGTGGCGTTTTACCACAAGACAGGAGAGTTGAGGTTTGTTGAGATTTATTTTCATACTTTCGCAATATTAAAAAATCCTGCTGTTAAAAAAATAAAACTCACTTGTAGACAATATACTGTCTTCTCATTTTAAATATTTCCTACACGTTTACTATACAGAACGTGGCATCGCAGTTTTTATCTTATATACACAAGAGGTGGAAATGAAACAACTGGTTGAGTTCAGAATATTCTAATTTCAGCTCCGAGGATGGAGGTGCACTTCCTGTGACCATCATGATCTCCCTGAACCTCGAGGCCCATGTGACAAGGTTCTGAGTAAAGGATTTCCTGCCTCAGCTTCTCCTGATTCCTGGTTCTCAGGTACCCAGCCATGAGGCGGCGGTAGCTGCGGAGGACGCGCTGCTTCCACGCCTCCTCTTCCTGGAAGCTGAGGGTCGGCAGGGTCTTCGTGTCCCTCTGCCCGCTCTGAGCTGCGTCTCCTGGGTACAGGAACGGGACCTCTCCTGGCTCTGAAGCTGGAACCCCCTGGACCCCCCTCGTCCGAAGTGTCTGATGGAGATCGCGGCCCAGCAGACGCAGCTGGTCGTGTCCCAGCACTTCCTGCCTCCTTGATGGTGTTCAATCTCCGAGAAACCAGAGAGCGGGCGGAGGAGCGGGCGGAGGAGCGGGGCGACGCACCGCTCGCCTGGAGACGAGCTGAGAGACGGTCCAGCTCACTACCACCTAACACAACTCAAAGATTTGAATATTAAAATAATATTTGGAGATTATGAAGTCATGTCTTTGTGATTTATTCATCTGGGAAAACAAATCAAATTCCTGTAAACTCACCGTGACTTCGTCTTCTGAGGGGAAAGGCTGACTCCAGATCTGCTCCAGGTTGGAGGGAGAAGTATCTCTGAGACCTGGGGAGGTTTTGTTCCGACTGGAAGAGGAGGAAGAGTCAAGGCCCGGAAAAACAAAGCGACGCAAACACGTCTGCAAAAACAAACAAGAACAAACTCACCACCTCACGGAAACTTTCTGCACGAAGGCTTCGCCTGATGCTCGCGTGGCGGCGGATCAGAATCTCCCTGGTTCGGCTGTCGTCGGGCAGATTGTACTTGTTGGTGTACGCCATCGTCTGGAATACATTGAGAGATGTTTGGTGGAATTACAAAGACACACACACACACACTGTAGTTTCTAGCTGAAGAAGTGTAGAATTTGTACTCGTGAAAAGTTTCTCTGGAGTTGTGGCGATGACTTTACCTTCTGTCGGATCTTGTACATATTCTTCGACAGGATGTCGTGCATCTTGTTCACGTCAGCAGCCAGGAACTTCCTCTTCGGTCGAGACGCCTCCACCATCTCATCGCTGATCGGAGGGCGAGAGCAAAGCACGGTGAACGAGCGACTCTAATGAAATATAAAGCTTCATAATTATCATGGAGATGTTTTCCATCTGCATCATCAGCTGGAGACAAATTAGATTTAACATAAAGGTTGAGTGTCCGCGATGCACTCGCCCTGACACTTAGTGGACAGAGACACAAATCACTGTGTTATTTCCTGTCTTTGTGTTTCACTGTGTCTCTCTGTGTTATCGTTACCTGAAATCTAATTGATTAAACTACACTCTGTCTTTTGTGTTGCTTCCTGTCGAACTTACTGCAGAGAGACAACAGAGGGCGCTGCACTGAGGTCCCCCAGAGGCGTGTCCAGGAGGTCGATGGCGTTCTGCAGCTCCAGTTTCTTATACAGGGACACGATGCTGGACTCGGCCTTGTTGTGTCGGAGCAGGATACGCCTCAAAATACGATCGTTGAACTTCTTAAACCTGAGGAGGAGACGCATCAGTGCATATTAGAGGAGACCACGATTTAAATCCAGATAGAGAACGAGATGAGAAAGGCTCCTACTTGTCTTTCCAGTAGTAGTGACTCCACTGTCCACACAGGTCCTCGATACCACAAACAACGTGCTCCATCACCTGCACACAACACAGGGACACAACGGTCACAACCCAGACAACAACGTTTTCTCTTCTCGTGCATGTGCCGCGGTACGTTACCCTGGTGTGAATCTCTACGTTGATGGAGGTCAGGACTTTGTTGGTTCTCCTGATGTTTAAATACTCCACTATGGGACGGATGCTGATTCCCTAAAAAACAAGGATCAGTGTATGTTATACCTTTTTATTTTTATAATAGTCTTTTGAATCTCTCAGACTAGATGAAACACTTTGAAGCACGAGGTGAATATCGGGCCCACCTGGATGAAAACAGTGAAAATAATGATGGCGATTGAAGCCGTGACAAACAGGTTCCTTCTGTTGACAGTCTCGGGCAAAGTGAAGACCAGGGCGAAGCAGATTGCCCCTCGCAGGCCTCCGTAGGCCAGTCCAAACTGGTCCTTGAAAGTGAACTGGATGGTGCGGAAGGGGTTGACGATCTGCGTCAACACCAGAATCCCTGCAGGGAAGAGTTTGATTAAAGTCCAGTGTTAAAAACAGGAGGGGGGTGGGGGGGGGCAGAGCTTTGTTTCCACGTCTCTCACCGAGTCCTCGCCAGATGAAGGCAAAAAGCAGCGTGAACATGATGTAGGCCCAGTTCCACTCGTGGTCGGTCGTTATGGTAACGACACCCAGGAAGAAGAAGATGAGGGTTTCTGAGATGGTGGCCATCATCTTCACGACATGACGAATGGTGGTGCAGGATCTCTGAGACACGTTCTCCTCCACGTAGTACTTCATGGTTACGGCACACGTGATAATGCTGCACACGGAAAACAAAACGCGTGTGAGGGAGATCATGTCTATCTGATATATATATATGAATACTTTGATTCTATGTATTGATCCACTTCAGCTAACAAGTGCAAAGGTTACAGGCAAATTATAATTCT